ACCATGTTTCCGTGATGGCGGCTATGTCATAGCTTTCCTGCTGCTCCACGGCTTCCAGCTCTTCCTGTTTGTTGACCATGCTGCGTGTATTGGTGTAGAAGTACTTCAGCTGGGCTACCGATCTCCCCTCTGAGACTGGCCTGCTGCCCATAGGCTAATCTCCAGTGTTCAGGGTTTTATCCCCATCCCTCTTCAGATCTAGTTTAAAGCCTCTCAGTCAGCCCCACTAACTAACGCATGGGCTAGAATCCTTTTCCCTCTTTGGGACAGGTGAACTCCATCTGTCATCAGCAGGCCTGGTGCTGTGTAAACCGCCCCATGATCAAAGAAGCCAAAATTCCACTGATGGCACCAGCCTCTGAGCCAGGTGTTAATCAGATGGGTTTTCCTGTCCCTTCTAGTATTCTTCCCCGCTACTGAGGGGATAGAGGAAAACACTACCTGCACTCCCGATCCTTCAACCAATCTTCCCGGTGCCCTGAAGTCCCTTTTGATCGCCCTTAGACTGTTCTCCTCAACCTCATCGCTGCCAACCTGAAAGACTAGCAGTGGGTAATAGTCAGAGGGCTGGACCAGACCGGGGAGTTTCCTGGTGACATCTCTTACCCGGGCCCCAGGGAGGCAGCAGACTTCCCTGTGGGATGGGTCCTTATCTCGGTGGTTTGCGGTTTCTGCTGACAGTTTCCTCCTTATCTTCTCCCAGACCCGCCCCTAGCCAAACAACCAGGTCAGGATGAGTTTATGATATGTGACCTGGAATTCCTTCTCCTGCTAACTAATGCTAACTGAAGTTATTCAGACAAAAGAATACATTTAAAAGAATAGAGTAGAATTTAAAGGTTAGGTTGATTTAACTTATTCTGTAACACAAGTAGAGAGTAATTATTTCAAGTAGTCCTTTGTGGAGCAGTGTTTTATTTCGTCTCCTTTCTGCTGAAGATTACTAGTCCCAGTGAGGTGGAAGAGGTAGATCAAACTCAGTATATCATCAAACACCTAGAAACTGAGGCAACTCTTAGTGATTTATTATTTAAAAGAATTGCAGTGAACAGTTCTGGAAAGAGATGAGTGGCCTACAAAACCTGTTAATAAGTTCTAAAATCATAGTGGTAACAAACTCAAAATTATGTTGCTAGGACATTACAGCTCTGCTTGAAGGAATATACTGTTAATGGTTGAAGGCACTTTGCCATTACTTGTTGACAGTCAATGCTGTCTGAAAATACAGAATTATTTTTGCATTTGCAGGCTCAGAATAGGTTGCACTCAAGACAGAATGCTCTCTGGTTTTGAACTGTGATGTAGCAATATCTCACATATCATCATCCAACTTAACCTGAAAAACAGGAAACTGGTTTAATTAGTGGTAAATTTTGCCATCTAGTTAACACTTATATAGGATTGTTATCAGCCCTTTTGCTAGGGTAGATACTTTGTTTCTTGACAAAAACGCGTTAAAACTGACAGCAATAGAAAAACTGCCTGCAGCAGGGCCTGTGTGTGGCTTACTTGCAACTTTTTGAAACTATTGTGTTAACAGAGGTTTAAGGCAGTACTGGAAGTAATTCTGCTTTGGGGCTTACAAAACTTAATGTTAACAGAAGTTGAAATGCACAAATAGCATGAATTACTTTTGATTCTGGTCAGTTCATATGCGTTTGAAGTATCTCCACGTCTACGTCCAAAATTATTTCAAGTGACCATTATTGCATCCAATAGCAACTGCAATTAAATGTGATCTGTGTGGCCAGAAAGATGTGTGAGCTAGTGATTCAATTCCGGTAGATCTGTAGTTATGGTGAACCATAAGATTTTATTTTTCTTACAACTTACAGACTTACTATTTTAGGAGATAGTATTTTCTGGATTTAGATTGAAGGGTTCTAGAATGCTAGACACTGCTTGACGATCAAGGAGGGCAGAAAACTATTCTGCTTCTTAAAATCCTGCTTTGCATAAATGAAAAGCTTTGTCAGAGGGGAAGTGATGGTTCTAGCTGAGGCAGGTAACTTGGAGTAAGCAGACTTTGGGTAAGCTCAGTTTGTCACTTCCTTATTCTGTGCCCTTTTACTTTGGCTTCTCAGTGTATATAGTATAGAATATGTATGCAGCAGTGGCTGACTTGAAGAGTCTTGTGAGAGGTTTGCTTCTAATTGTACTAACGTTATTCGTGCAGTTTCAATGACAAGCTTATAGGGATGTCAGAAGTGGCCTTCACATCTTGAATGTGATTTTATTTGAATTAGTAGCTGTTTTTACATATGCAATGACAGGATGTCCTGCTTATTACCATCTCCAAAAAGAGGTTGTTTCAGAAATGAGAAAGCAGTAGTTCTGTTAGATCTGAGTCTAGCTAATGTGGTTTCAGGTTTCGCTCAGTGATAACTGAGATAACGTGCTCTCTGACGTACCTTTATACAGCACCTAAAATCCTGCAAAGTACTCTCTCTACACTGTCAACATGAGATGCTGAATTTCTTACATCATTTAAAATGTTTCAAGCCTGTTGGACAAAAAGACAAGATTAAATTAAAACAACCATCATATACGCACATAACTGCAGATGTTTGCAGCATGAGAAAATAGTTAATTTGCCTGAATGATGATCATCTGACCCTTTGAAAGTGTAAAACAGTAATTAATTAACCTAGTATTTTTGAAGTAAGGTTCAAATGTAAACTCAAATGAATGTAAACCAAATAATATCTATTACTTTATGTCTAGGAATCAAATGCTGGAATTCCAGGCTGCATCTATTCTACTGAAGTTGGTTGGCATAGCCATAGCTGCTTTGCTTGAGTAAATGAGACATACCATTTCCTATGAGCTTAGTCATGGCAGCTGTCTTTGCTTTTTGCCACGTCAGTTTTATTCTGAAAGGTAGTGTAAACTACTCTCTCAGGAATCATGGTTGTTGGAGTTCAAATAGAAGAAACATCGCTGCCAGTCATAGTTTTGCAGAGCTATAACGAATTGCAAGTGGAGATTAGAAATGTCTCTTACCTTTGACAACTTGAGTTAGATTCCTGATCACCCTAACGTTACTATTATACCAAAACATTGTTTTATTATGTGTGATAAAACCTCAACTAATCTGTGTTGAAAATAGGAACATCTTTGAAAAGTTGCTGAATTTTCTAAGTTTCATGAGAGTGGGATGTCACCATAGCCTTTCAAAAATTTACTGAAAATACTAACTGTAATATAAAAGGAGCATGAAATTGGATGTCAGTATTTGTCATCTTACATAGCAGCTGCTCAGAAAGAGCCTCCCTGGCTGTCAAAACCAGTAGAGAGATTGATACTGATAGAGATGTGTAATCCTTGTGCATTAATCTGGAAAAAAGTTTACTTGCCATTAAACTGGAGTAAAACTCTGACATAACGTTAGATTACATACCAAAAGGATGGTACTTACTTAAAATGCAGTTGTTTTTGGAAGGAGAACAACAGAAAACTTATAAATAGCTGGTCTGATAACATCTGCTACCAACTTAGTAGTTTCTTTTTGGGGGGAGAGGAAATCTGGATTATTTGGGGGGACTTATTGCTGTATCCTTTTTTTAACAGGCTTTTCTTTTTCTCTAAAATGTTTTTTCCAATTGCTAAATGAAAAATAAAAAACTACAATAAAAACAGCAAGGCAAAATGGTAAACAGAGGACAGGTAAACATTAAAAATGATTACATAGTTTAATCGGCTACTAAACAAGCTGTAAAATTGGATTAGAGAAAATGTCTTGCTACAGTAACTGTTGATGTTGCTTGTAAAAAATACTGAGTTTCTGTGGCATTTAAATTGTCAGAAACCATGTTTTTTTTCAATAGCCTCCAAATTGCCTGATGATAATCATCATCCTTATTTGTCTACTTGTCTCCAAAAGTTGCTGTCTTATTGTAATCTAATATTGTAATATTGAATATCTTGATGTACTTTGGCCTGCAAAATACTATGGAAGAGTTTAGAAGTCAATGTTTAACTCACTTTATCTCACCAAAATGTGTTTAACAGATATGTAAACTGACTCAGGCAAAAACTTTCTCTTTTTGTTCACAGAATCTGTCAGTGGATGTATCTTTTAGCAGTTTGTTCCATTCTGTGGTTTTGGAATATGGGATTTTTTTCTTTCATTTACTAAGGCATCAATAATTTTTCCATTTATACAGAAGTTTCCATCTGAACAGGAAAAAGTCGTTTTACTGTTTAATTGCAGTTGAACTTCATAGTATTCAAATACTGCTTATATAGAATGTTTATATATTATTTATAGAAATAGAGGTATTTAAGTGAGTTTTAACTAAAAAAATGTAATAAATCTGACCTTTTCTAAAATCTTCTAATGATAGGTACTGTAAGGTATCAGTTGTCTGTTATCAATGGAGGAGTTAGTATGTGTCCACAATTCTAGGCTGCACTATGCTGTTCATGAAGTGTATCATTTACTTGCCATAAAGATCATTATTAATGCTGCTTTTTTTTCCTCTCCTCTATTATTTCAGGAAGTGTATTTCAAGAATCTTTCAAAACAGAAACAAAAGGAAGTCATGGAGAAGAATGGAAACAACCACAAACTTCGTGTTTGTGTTGCTACTTGCAACCGTGCTGATTATTCAAAATTAGCTCCCATTATGTTTGGTATTAAGGCAGAACCACAGTTCTTTGAGCTTGATGTCGTAGTACTTGGTTCCCACCTGATTGATGATTATGGGTAAGGTGAATTTTTGTATCTCTGCCAATCTGTGTCTGGGGTGTTAGTAATAGCATCACGAATGTTAGGTAACAAAATCCTTGTCATCGTGAACATACATAACAAAATTTTAAATGTATTTTTTCTGATTATATTTCATTTTGCAGCTGCTTCTGAGATTGGTTAAAAAAAAAAAACAGAAATAGGCAATCTTGGAATTTTAGAAAGTTTTGTGTAAATGCGGTAATTGAGATCTT